CCTGGACAGTGTGTCTCAGTGGTTAAGCGTTGACCCAGGAACCAAGAGGTCACCAGTTTGATTCCCGATCAGGGTACATGCCTGGGTTGAGGGCTTGATCCCTGGGAGGGGGCATGGAGGTGGCATCCTCTACGAGTTTTATAAAACTGTATGCTCTTTCTCTGTTCTCATAGGGACCTCTGTTTTCACTGGCAAACAGTCATAGCCACATTATATGAGTTTAGCACAGACCCCTAGCTGTGGATGGTTTCTTAAAGTCTTGTATAATGCACATACACACAAAAAAAATTCCTTTGTGGGGTAAAGGGGGAAAAAAGGGGAGAGGATCAGTTTTAACTTTTTTTTGTTGTTGNTTGTATAATGCACATACACACAAAAAAAATTCCTTTGTGGGGTAAAGGGGAAAAAAGGGGAGAGGATCAGTTTTAACTGCTTTTTTTTTTTTTTTTTTTAAATATATCTTTATTGATTTCAGAGAGGAAAGGAGAGGGAGAGAGAGAGAGAGAGAAACATCAATGATGAGAGAGTCATTGATCGAGCCCGCAACCCGGGCATGTGCCCTGACCGGGAATCGAACCCTGATCGCCTGGATCCTAGGTCGATGCTTAACCACTGAGCCACACCCGGCTGGGCTTAACTGCTTTTCTTTTAAAGATATATATTAAATGATTTGGTGTAGTTTTTGATAAACTAAAATGTGCCCTATTATATAGCAAGCAGAAAAAGTAATTATCCTTTATAATAATGATGTGATTTTACTATTACGAACCAGCTAAGTCTCGTTGAGAAAGATTTGTTTCTTTTATATAATTGCTGCTAGAAATAATGGCTCAATATTATATAGTTAAAATTCCTGTGTTAATCACACATTATTATAATTTGAAACTATAGTAATGGGTATAGCCCACTGAATAAAAGAAGAATCCATGAATTCATTTTAACACAAATAATTACATAAAAGAGGTAGAAGAGAAAGTTCTTAATTACAGTAAAATGTCAGCTAATAAATATAGAAAGAATGATGAGGTTAGAAAATATCATTGTCCAGCAACCCTTAGAACTGATTTAGGTAAGAATCACCAATGGATTCTAAAACGAATAGATGAAATTTTGAAGAAAAATGGTATTTCCATAGTCTCAAAGTATTCCCATACAAATTATTAATTACAAAGGTGAAACTAGTAACTTTATAGTGGAGACACCTGACTCAAACTTAATCATGTAACCAAAGTCAACAGCCAAAATGAGACAAACCAACATCATGTGCACCACTTATCTTGCCCTGAGAAGGACACATTATTTATGTGATTTTTTGGGGTCAAAGTTAATAACCTGAATCTAATCATGAAAAAACATCAGACAATTCCAAATTAAAGGACATTTTTTTAGAATGACTGTCATACTTTTCAAAAATGTCAAGATCAAGGACTACAAATTAAAGTGGAAGAACTACTGTATTCCAGATGAAAGAAGACTGAAGAGACATGACAGTTAAGTAATATTGTGTCAGATTTGGGGTCAGGAAAAATAAGAGCTCTAAAGGACATTCTTGGGACAATTGATGAAAATTTAGTAAGGGCTGTAAATTAAATAATAGGATTTTATCAATGTTAATATTCCTAATTTTTATCATTTTGCTTTGGTTTTCTAAGAGAATATCTTTATTCTTAGAAAATACACATTAAAAAATACACACTAAATATGTACGCATCCAGAGTATAATGTCTGCAACAGTCTCAGTTTTTTCGGGAAAAGTGTGTGTGAGAGAGAGAGGCATCAACTTGTTCCACTTACTTATGCATTCATTGGTGGTTTCTTTTATGTGCCCTGACCAGAGATCAAACCCGAAACCTCAGCATATTGGGATGACACTCTAACCAACTGAGCTACCTGGCCAGGGTTACTTCTATTTTTTTTCAACTTCAACAAAATTTATTGGTTTTCTTTGATTGCCTCTGGCCAGGCTTTGGACGGACTCTCTGCATTCATCTGGCCTTATTTCTAGGCTGTTGTGGCTTTTAAGTCCCTTTTGTGCTTCTTCAGCTTTTGAGCCTCCTGAAAAACCTGAATGCACAGAGCCTTCTTGTTTACCCAGCAGCAGTGGCTTTTTGGTAGTACAGCCGGGGGAAAGTGCACTCCATTCCCAGCTCCTTTCATGTCTTCTCGAAGACTGTATAGTTGTTCTTATGGAGGGGTTTGATCACCTTTTTCCTCTGGTCAATGTTCATCACCAGATTGTGCTTATGAAGAACATATGCAGAAACATCAAAAGGACAAAGCCCACAGATGCTATCTTTTATTGGCACTTTGATAAGAATCTCTTGTGATTTAAAGCCATCCTTCTCTTCCAGGTACAGAGAGGGAGATATCTTTACAAATGGAGATTTCGTTTATAAATATTTCCCTTATAAAAGCATAGCTTCTAGTTTGTTTTCAGAGCATCTCTTGTGTCTTAAAATAATCCTCATGCCAAAGAGGCATATTTTGGGGTGGAATATTCTGCTGCCCTTCAGTGTTTAGGAAGAATTTGAGGAACTGGTCAATCTACATTTTGCAAATAATGAACAAAGACTGAGAAATTAGACTACCTGCCTAAGATCACAGAGGCAGCATTTAGCAAGGCTGGGATTCGAGGACTATCTCCCAGACACAGTCCTTCCTTCCTTTCCTTCCCCCCTTCCTTTTTCTTTGTTTCTTTCTTCTTTCTTTCTTCTGTTGTGACTGCACTTTATGTCACACAGGGCATCCAAGTGAGAAATAGAGTAAAGAAATAAAATGGAATTTTTACCAGAAAGGGGACCTGGCCCTTGGGTCTGCCTAGGGCCGGGTCGGTAGTGTGTGGGTTCTTGACTTCGTACAGGAAAGATTTCACAAAACTAGTCCAGGTGAATTTTAGAGGACGTTTATTAAAGCTGGGGACAGTGAAAACAAGAAAGGGCTGGGGAAATGAGCCTAGACTGGTCTGCTTTGGCTCACTAAGTCAGAGAAAAAAAGGAGGGCCTTGGGGGCAGGTTCAGGGTGTTTGCCCAGGATGAACCGCCGCTGCCCATTGCTGCTCCTATGGCCAGTTTCCTCGTGGTGTCCCTTACAGTTTCGGAGACGCACGCCTCTGGGGAAAAGAAGGGAAGCAGGCAAGGCAAGGCTGTGCTCCTGGAGGGAAAGCTCCTGCTAGACCTTGGTTTTGAGCGGTTTTCTAGGCTGGGCGTTTAGGGGAGGATCTTAATAGAATATTCATCAGCTTTAGGCTGATGTGCCAAAATGAGATTTATTCCCGTAACTACATCTGTCCTTGGGTGTGGTTGGCAAATGGCCTTAATTTCTGTTATCTGTCTTCCAGACTAGGGTGATTTACGCTATTTATCCTCTAGGGAGGAGAAGTGANTGATTTACGCTATTTATCCTCTAGGGAGGAGAAACCATTTACTCTTATGTGTCCTTGGTTTAGGGAAGGTAGGATTTACTGGATGGCTGCAAACTGCTGTTTATCTGTCTGTTTCTCTATTCTGCTGGTCTTGCCTTCCTGGCCTGTCTTACTATGGCTTTAATAGGTTTACTGTGCTTTGCTAAATCTTTCTTGCTCTTGAATTCCTTGTTCTCTGACAAGGACCTGGATTAGTTGAGGCCTCCCTTGGCCTTCCCCGGTGCCCCCCAGCATCATAACTAGCCTGGGAACTTAAAGTTTTGAGTTTTCCAATCAATGCCTGGATATAGATCAAACCTTTAGCTAACCCTCTGGACTAAGGAAATAATATTCAGGTATCCAAACTCCTGACGTCCACGATCCAGACCACCATTATCTAGAGGATTACCATCTCTGACCAAACCAGAGGCTAACGATGCAGGACTGATTCTTCTCAAGAACTTTTCGCTTGTCTTTCTTCTGCAAAATGCTCTGGGGATTGCCTAATTGTGTTTTCCATTTGCAAACTCTAAGACCCTTGAATAAATCTTTATTTCTAGCCAAAGCCTCCAGACTTTTTGAGTTCCTTTGACACAGGATACAGAGGCAGCTGCTGTTTCCAACTGCTAAAGAGAAAACCACAAGCCCAATATAACGTCACTTGTGCTGAAAGCCCATGATACTGAACCTAGATTTAATGCCTGACATAAATGCAGTTTCAACCTCTCCCAGAAACATAATCAACCCGTCTGGAACTTTCCGGTCAAGCACCTGTAAGGTCACCTGTCCCATGGGCCTTCTCTATCCCTCATAGAAGAGGTAATCTTAATGATTAAAAAAAAAAAAAATCTTCCCATTCTCTTCCCCCAAAGAAAAGATGTCCAGGCCCCAAAAGAATCCTTTCCCCCCCTCTTTTGTTAATAGGTCCCTTGCTCCACCCTTCCCATAAAATCCTTCCATCTTGGTGGAGCCCCTCAGAGCACCCTTTGAGTTGCTAGATGGGATGCTGCCCTGTTTATGAATCACTTAACACATACCTCATGTTCAGGTATGAAAACACGACTTTTGGATCAATCAATCTCTTTAAGGTCCTTTCATTTGAACACTTTGAAAATCCTAAGATCCGTGAAGGGATGGGATTCACTGTTTTTCAGGCGGCCTCACACTCAGGGGTTGGCCACAGTCTTCTGGCCCAATGGCTCCTCTCCCGCCTCCTATTCCACGTAACCACCACGGCCCAGGACCGGCAGCACCGCGAGGCGGGGGATCCCAGAGGCAGGGACGGAGGGAAAGGGAGAGAAACGCCGGCTTCCCCGCCGGCTGCAGAACGCTCCAGCTGTGCTCTAGGGCGAGCCTCCCGGCCGCCGCCTCCCGGTTGCCCTCCGGCACCGCGGGCGGTTTCAGCCGTCGGCCCATCGGTCACGCCCCGCCTGGGCCTGGCTCCTCCCGGCGCAGATTTCAGGGGAACTAACCGACCGCAGAGTGTCCCGGGCCCCGGAAGTGACGTCTGTGCGTGCGTGAGGCGCACTCGCGGCGCCGGGGGCGTGGCGTGAGAGAGGGTGGGCCGCTGAGAGAGGGTGGGCCGGTGTGAGGGCGGGCTGTGGACGCGCGTAGCCCGGACCCACTCGAGAGACGCGGGGAGAGCGGCGATATCGACGCCGGTGGATCCGCAGACGAGGTACGGAACTGACGGGCGGGGGGCCGAGCACAGCGCTGCTCTCGGCTCCGGGCGGGGGTTGCTGGGTCATCCGTCCGTTTGGTCCACCGGCCGGGGCCGTTTCGCTTCGGAGCCTCCTGTCGTCCTCCGTCCGAACTCGGGCCGGGCCGCGCGGCCCTGGCCGGCCGCCTCAGTCCTCTGGGTGCTCAGCCTGCCCGTGTCAGGCTCTGGGCGCTAAGTTCTCCACGGCCCAGCCCAACTCCGACGGGCAGACGCGTATTTCCTGGCCTCCTGCTGCCACCGGTCATCCCCTGGCGGGATGGCTTCCCTCTGGCCAGCTCCCTCCTCACTGTCCAGTCCGCGGAGTCCGACGGGGCACCTGTAGTGGCGGCCGGTCGGGTCGTGCCCCGGCGCCCTCGGGCATTCGTCTGGATTGAAAGCTCGGACCCACATCGCCATCTGGCCTTGGCAGGGAGCCGGGACTTCACGAACCCGCCTCGTTTTGGGGGAGGGATGTGTCCCGGAGCTGGGAGGGTGCTGACTTTCGCGATGCGGCGACTTGAGGGCTGATCCTAACTAACTTTGCCCCGCGGTCGAGGACCTGGGGTTCGGAGCAGAAGTCCCTGCTTCCAAGCCGCCTGGGAGGAGAGCAGAGGTGATGCCCATTACGGAAGTTTAGTGGAGAGGGAGGGAGGGACTCAGCCGCTTTAGAGTGTAGGTCATAGACAGCTGGTGGTGTCTCAGCGCTGGTGACCCAGCCCGGCGGTTGGGAAATGTGTCAATGGGCGGTGGTAGGCTCTTGTTGCCTTTGAGATTGGATGTGCATCACTTGGGAAGTACTTGTCTTCCTTCCTTCCTCTTTCCTTCGGAGATGAAGAGTTGTTGTTGTTTTGAGAATAAAAAAATAGTTGTACTGTTTTTCCGTGAACCTAAAACGGCTTGGTCTATTAATTAAAATAGTTCCATCAAGGAAGCTCGCAGAGGTGCAAGAAGATTTGATTGTATTGGTAGTCCCCTTAATAAATAACGTTTGCAAAAGTTACTGGTTCTTAGGCGGAATATTAAGAACTGTTCAGGATTTGAATTTTTACTGCCCTTGGAAGCAATCTTGTTTCTTCTCTCTAGAAGTTTGCCAGTTTA